TTTCAGGACTGTGAGGTCTCATAGGCTGTGGATTTTCTCTCCCCAAACAGAAGAACTTTGCTTCCAAATAGGAGTCAGGGTTGGTTGGTTGTTCATCTGAGCCCTGATTCAGCTCTGTTCCTAGGAGATCTCTTGAAGTTCCTGTTCCTGTTGGCCCCTCCCTGTGTTACCCACCCCACGGTCCAGGGCCTTGGGTGTAGGAGCCCTGCGCCCCTGTGCAATTTCTCATCTTCTGTGAGACAAGCTGTCTGTTTTCTTCACACCTCCACCATTAACAAAGACAATACAAAAGATTTCTCTACTTTTAATATTTCTAGCTGGCTTAGAATAACAAGTTTTTGGATTCTATTCCATCTAATTTAGGGAAGAGAGGTGGGCATTTCTTTTTTTTTCAGAGAAGCTCAATTTTCAGTAATGTGAGCCTAAAGATTTATAAAATAGATTTATATTAAATTATGTTAATAGAAGCCTAGTAAATGCACTATTTAATTGCATGGAAAAAATGTTCCCTTTTAAGAGGTCTGTCACCTTAACAGGTACATTCAAAGATTCCCTGTGAATAATGAAAATAGGAACAATTGCTTTGATGCACTGAGCCGCATTCATCGTCTAGGACAGCTTTAGGCTGTTTGGAGAGGATGGGAGGAGCTCCTTTTAAAGCAGTGATTGCTCCTTTAAACCCAGTTTCCTCTAGCAAATAGATTCTATTGGAAGGGTCATTCTCCTCCCCTCCTCACACCCTTCAGGCTGGGCCTGAGACCCTACCCAGAGCTCTCTCCCTCTTCACTCAATGTTCAGCTTTTTCTCCTTCCCTCAACCCAGCTCTGAGCACCTCCCCACCTCCCTGAGAGAAATCTCCCAAGAAGTGCACTGAAAAGAGAATGGAGTCTCCAGGCAAGGTAGAAGTGGGAAGAAAAAAAAAAATCTGGTGAAAAACACTCTTGTCTTTTCACATACATGACCACCATCAATGGAGTTCTCTTTCTCTCTCCTCCCTCTCTTTCTCCTTCTCTCACCCTTCCCACCCCCATACACACACACATACACATACAGACCCTGCTGCCCTCTGTGACTACTTTGAGTTATAACAATCACCTTTCTGGCAATTCTCTGACCACAGTCAGGGTGAGCCAAGCAAACTGACTTTCTAATCCTGATCAGATGTAATTGGGCAGAATTGGTGGGGAGTGGGGAGGAGGGTGAAGCTAGAGAGGAGGAAGCCAGAAATCAAAGACTTCACATCCCCAAGTTATTGTTTTTCATAAAACATCCTTGGATATCCTTGGGAGGATGGGGGGAGGGGGTTCCTAAGCTATGATGACCATTTCAGAATAAGGGGGGGGCGTGGTCTACCATCATCAGTGTCTCTATCACCTGGGCCCATGGACACCCAGGGATGGGCTGCTGGATCCCTTTTGCTCTGGGCATGGTTTGCAATCAAGAAGGCTTGCTGAGTGCCGCTATCAGTGTTAGGCTGTTGGCCTTGGGCTTGTGTTGGTCACTGAGTAGTAGGGTGAAGGGGAAAGGTCTCTGCTCCTCCTCTTTGCTCACAATGTCTGGAATGAGTCAGGGCAGGATGGCAGGAGGTCATCCTTCCTGGCCTCCATCCCCTCTCCCCTGCCCCCACCTCTTTTCCTATTTAAAGCTACCACAGGACGTGTTCTCAAAGAGGTGGACTCAGCCACACAAACAGCTCCTGCTGCTCACTTCTTTTCTCTCAGTGGAGCAAGGTCCTCATTTCTAATTCTCATTTTCATTCTCTTTCTCTCTTTCCATTATGTGTTTATAGGCCCCTAAGAAGCCATGTTTTGGGGGAACAAAGTTCTGTTTTTCAAGCGGAGGCACACTGAAAAGCTAGCATCTAGTCTTCCCAAGAAGTAAAACTGTTAAAGGTGACCTCACACTGAGACAGGGACCAGCCTAAAGAGACAGGGCCATGTGTAAGTCCCCTGGCCTAACAAGATGAGGCCCCTAACCAATCCTCAAGCTAGGAGAATCAGATAGAGACCACCAAGATCCACCTTCCACAGCATGGGACTTTCCCTGGCTGAAGCATGCTCCCTAGCACCAGGAGTCCACTGGAGGTGACCCTAGCTCCATTAGCATAGTAAAAATCACACCCAGGGTGGAGAGTTAGCAAGCTAATGATATATGCAATGCATATGGTGGTATGTCATCAGCGCAGGCACAGGGAAAAACACCACCTCTACATGCATGACAAGGTCCTCCTCCCCAGCCTTTGCCTAATAAGAAGCCCTAATATCCCACTCCCTAATGAGACAGTCACCTGCCCCTTTCCTTTCCGCACCAGCTCCCTTGTGCCTCTTCTGTGCACAAGCTAATAAACTTTTAGTTTCCTACTCGGATTTGTTGTTTCTCTTGATTTCTCTCCTGAGGGACAACCAGAACCCAATGCACTGCTAACAACACATCTTCAATATTCCTCTTTAATAAATCTGGGGACACTGCACTTGGAGTGTTTCATATCAAGATTGTTTCACAGAGTATTTGTGTGTCTGAGTTTGTGTGTCTAAGTGTTGGCTTCAGGTGTTCTTGACCTAAGGTGAAACTGGGGGCCATTGAAATCAGACAGGTTCCCAAAGTCTTATTGTGATATGCAAACTTCAAAAACATCAACTGATTTTGGGGGAGGAGGGAACGTAAAATCTACCCTAGTAGACAAGGAGACCTCATGGTCCACTCTGAAAGTGACAAGAAGGTCCACTGGGCACCGAATGTCTTAGACAAGGAGGACCTCCCTGGGAAACCTGGAGAGCCCTTCCTCGGAGAATGTCCAACTTCTAGATGGGTATCTTTGCCTGAATCTTTTTGCCTCTGGTGGGAGATCCATTGTTCATTCTCTCTTCCCTAAGGAATGTCCCCAAAGACAGTACGGAGACAGACTGAGACCACGTACGCAGCCCAAAGGCAGGCGGGGAGGGCTGGCGCCGCGACTCCTTCGCAGGGCGGCGGAGCTGGGCGCGCCGCGAAGCATCAGCCTTGGGTGTGGCAAGTGGATGGCTCCGCGCTCCCGGCGCAGGGTCTGGCACTGGGGAGCCGAGTGCGGCGCAGAGGCTCCGGTCCCGACTGGGTATGGACCTGGGGAGAGCCGGCCCGAGCGCGGGGCAACAGAGTGGCCGGGCAGGGTGTGGTTGCGAGAGGGACGGAGTCTGCCCACCGTCCAGATGAGGCCTCGCTTTGGGCATTTGGGCTCCAAGAGGGCTCCTTGTCCTTTTTGTTATTTCCTGAGAAGGAGTACTTCTCCTTAAACGCCCGTTCTTTGCGCTTGGAAAATCCCTTCCTCCTGCCCCTGTGCTAGTGCCCGGAGAGGCTGTTCACTGGAAAGGACGGAGATGGGATCTTCAGGAAAGGCAGCGGCCGCCGCCTCCTCCCTTCGCCGCGAGCCGGCGAGGGGCCAGAGACTCTGCGTGAGAGACAGACCCAGGCGCTGCGCCCCCCAGGCCCAGGCAGCAGCAAGCTGGATGCCTGTGACCCCTGCGCAGGACCAGGCCCAGGTCGCTGCACAAAGCGGCGGCAGCTCCCTATTGAGCACAACACCGTGCGGTTTCTCCTCCCTCCTGCCTGCCCCGGCCGCTACCCGGTACCAGCATGGCAGTGGACTCAGGGCCTGGGGAGTCTGAAAGGGGAACTTTCCTTCTAAGCCTCCTGATGCTCCGTGTGTGTGTGTGTGTGTGTGTGTGTGTGTGTGTGTGTGAGAGAGAGAGAGAGAGAGAGAGAGAGAGAGAGAGAGAGAGAGAGAGAGAGAGTGTCTCCGGGAGGGGAAACCTCCCTCCTTTCTCCCTCTTGCCAAACTAGCTTTCTGCCCTCAGTTTTAGAGCCCCAACCCCACCTGTTGAGGTTCCAGTTCCTGTAGACCTAAAGTAAATCAGACCTAAAGAAGTCTGCGTATGTGTTATAAACAGTTCATATCGCTTGAACCCCTTAGGTGGCATCTTTACAGAAAATAGAAAGAACGGCAGTGGGAGTCAGTGGAACTCAGGTTGCAAGGAATGAGATCTCCTAGTTTCCATGTTTCTAGCTTCACTTCTCTCCTTTAGATGACAGGCCCTGGCTGCACTAAGGAGAGACCCAGGTGGCCCTACAGAGCCAGAGTAAGTCTTTTCTAGGGCCAGGCTTGCAGGAATTCACTCTGCAAGGTGATGAGAAGACAGGGACTAGAAGGGAGCCAATTTAGGTTAAAGTTAGTCCAAAAAAAAAAAAAAAAAACCCAAGAGCCAGAAGGCACCTCTGAACTATTTTGGGAAAATGAGAATGTAAATCTTTGGACAGAATAATTCCCTGTCCCTGACCTTTTGCTTTCTCTGCATTGAGGAAACCAGCTAATTTCTTAGCAAGACAATCAGGAAACGTAATATTTGTAGTCACTTGCAGCATCATTTGTAAGTTTTCATGTATTTGCTTCCAACCTGTTTGATGGATTGTAGCTCTTCCTAAAACTATTCTGACTATTCAAATTCCTTCACGTAATTCAGGTTTTAGTACTGAGAGAGCTGAGGAAGAAGAACAAAGCGGGCGGGCTGCCACAGAATATAAATCTCAGATTAGGGATTTTCAACTTTCCCTACTAAATGAATTAAAAGGTTTGCCTGTCATTAGTTGTCAGTGTCACTCTAAATGGAGTGATTTGTCCTGTCAACTGTGAGGAGGTTAGCTATTTGGAGGATGGGAGTACTATCCGGGAGGCAGCATCATGACTGAAAGCATCTTCTTGGCAGAAGTTTCCTGTTACAGAGAAATCCCACAGAGCCACAAACTCCCTCAACCAGGAGACCCACATTCCCAAGTTTTAGTAACACTTTCCTCTGAATTCTCAGATACTTTTTTTTCCTGCCCATGCCTTTCTCTAGATATGGAGGAGAGAGAGACTGGGGAAGATGGTGAGAGCAAACACCACGAATTTAAAACCTTGATTTTGTTTCATTTATTTAAATAAATATAAATATAAATTTTATATAAAACTATTCACATACAAAGGGACTTCCAGGGGCTTGGATTTTAAACTCTCCCCAGGCAAATTTTCAGAAAGCAAGACCTACAGGGTTTAGTTTTCTAAATTATTCGCAATTCAATACTTTCATTTTTAAAAGAACAACAAAATAATCAAGAAACCCCGTGTTCTGATCACGTTTTGAAGGACAGTAGGGAAGGGGAAATGACATGCGCTTTCAAAAACCACTATACAGTGTTAAACTTAAACCAACCCTGTTTCTTCTCTGTTTATGACCAGACTGAGTTGAATCTAGATTATGTACATTTTTAAAAAACGATCTATAACTGTGAGTGGAGCCCTCAACAAATAGGTCAAGGAGAAGGCGTGAAGGGTCAGGCGCGGCATGTACAACCCAGGAACTCTCGGGTCCGTTCCTTTCCAGATGGGACCATGGAATAGCAGAGGATTTGGGCCCTTGGTGCCTGCCTTGGCGTTGAGGGGGCTGCCGGAAGCGGGTGGTGAAAGAGGGGCAGCCCTCCCTCATAAGGGGGAAATCTCCTTGTCATCGTTGGCTGAGGCCGGCGACAAGGAGTCCTCATCCTCCGAGCGCGCATAGTGCGCCTGGCTGCCGACACACTTGCAGCCCGCGTGACTGTTCCTCTGCGTGCCCTTCCCTTCCTTCTTATGCTTCACCCGGCGGTTCTGAAACCAGATTTTCACCTGCTTCTCCGACAGGTTCAGGTAAGTGGCGATTTCGATCCTCCGGAGTCGAGACAGGTACATGTTGGAAGAGAATTCCCGCTCCAGCTCCAGGAGCTGCGTGCTGGTGAACGCTGTCCTCATCCTCTTGCCGTTGGGTACCTGGCTGGCGTCCGAGCCCCCTGCAGACCGGCCAAGAGAGAGCAAAGAGGTAATTCTCCGGCGAGGCGCTCCCACTCACGTGCCATCCCGTGGGAAGGACGCCTCTCAAGGACCCACCCGCGACACTCAACCAAACACCTGTATCCATCCCTCATCCCTTCCCATTTCATGGCACATCGTTACTTAGTCGGGAAGGACAAGAGACGCCCAAAGCAAGTGAAGGCCTTTGATGTGCGGGCCGTAAAGTCAGAGGATTAAACGAGGGGTGGGGGCTGGCATTGCCCGGCCGTCTCCCTTCAAGCCTTAAGGAAAGATAGGCGGGCTTAGCCAAAAACATCGAAACGCTAATTAGCCAGCCCCGAGGCCAGAATGCCACATCTGAGTTCAAACACAGCCACCCCGAACCTCAGTCAGTTAACCTCCCGTTTCTCAGCCCTCAAGCGCGAAGTCCCAAAGGCCCCGATATTACGCAAGACTTGGGCACCAGGTACCAGGAATGAAGTGCACCAGGCAGTTTGAGAGGTTGGCAAGCTAACTTCCACCTTCGTGGAACTTCTGGGGACGACTCCACAGTTACACCAAAAGCCCCTCCTCTCTCCCCACCCCGCCCCCCGGGCTCCCACTTCCTCCACCGAAGGCGGTAAGTTTGCTCCAGGGAGCTGGGAAGGCGCGGCGCGCAGGTGCCCAGAGACCCCGCCCTACCCATGGTGAGGCAGTGGAATCTCCGCGGGTCTGCCACGTTGTAGGTGGTGGTGGCGCAGACAGGTGCGTGGTGCTGCGGGTGCCCCAAGGCCGCCGCGGCCGCTGCCGCTGCCGCCGCAGCCGCTGCGGCAGCGGCCGAGCCGGGCTGCTGGGGCTGGTGGTGGTGATGGTGGTGCTGCGGCGGGTGGTGGTGATGGTGCGCGTGGCTCACGCGGGGGCAAAACTGCGCGTCCCCAGGACCCGAAGAGAACTGACTCTTGAGCAGGGGCAGGGCCCCGGCGCCCCCAGCCGCCCCGCCACCTCCGGCCCCTGCACTCCCGGCCCCTGCGCCCCCGCCGCCAGAGCCCGCCGGCCCACGAGAAGAGTGCAGGTGCGAAGTGACGCAGAGCGGGCAAACGCAGAACGCGCCGCTCTTGCGGGATGGGCACCCGGGCCCGGACACCGACATCACCAATGGGGACGGCATGCCCAGCGGGATGAAGAAATCTGGCCCAGGGTGCGGCTCAGGCAGCGAGGGCGCGGGCCTTGAGGAGTCCTTGATGATGAGCGAGTCGACATAGAAGGAGCGCGACATGTCGGGAGGGGTGGGTGGCTGGAGGGCCCGGCCGGCCGAGTCGCCCCCTCCCCTCTCCTGGTCTGAGCTCTGCCCCGGGCGCGGCGCGGACGCAGGCGGTCAAGCCCTTGGGGACGCGGAGGTGTTGGCGTCTGGGCTGCGAACAAAGGGGTCCCTGGAGAGGGCTGGTCCTCACGTCCCCCGCCTGGCGCCCCGGCTCTGGGATTTTATAGCCCCCACCCCGGCACGTGATGCTGCGGAGTACCGCTCGGCTCAGGCTCCTCGGCAGCTCCCCACCCTCGGGATAGGCTGCCCGAGTCACAACAGAAGCGGCGAGGAGGGGCGGGCGCGCGGCGGGGAAGAACTCGGAGGAGGGGGATGGGGGAGACTTTGCAAAGTGTAGGTTTTGTTAATTTCGCGGGGAGGCCAGCCTCCTCCCCCTCTTTCTCCACGCTTTCTCGAGAAATTGCAGAGCTCCATCCTTCATCCCATCCCTCTCCCTAGCCTAGGCCCCAGTCTAGCTCATCCGCGCCCCGCGGCCGCAAAGCGCACCAGGTGGGGACTTGGAGGCTTTTTAATAGGGATGCCCCATGCGCCCTGCTCCTCGGTGCCCGCGGTGGCTGAGGCACGGTAAAGTGTGAGGCCTGAGGTTTGGAGCAGAATTGTGCGGGCGGCGGACTGGCAGAGGCCCAGTCCCGGAGTGCAGCTTGGGCCGCGGAAGCGCACACACACACGCGCTGTTCCCCAGGGTTTGCACTTGGCCGAGGTCATTCAGGTGGTTAGTTCGTGACGGATCCCGGGCGTAACAGTGAGGCCTCCCAGCTAAGAAGCTGCCCAGCTTTTCATTCTCATGCTTGAGAAGCTCTAAAATGCCTTTACACTTGGAGCCTTCCTGGGGCCACTCAAAACAACGACCCTTCCTTGTGCCTCTAATGGGCAGCTCCTCCTTTTTTCAGAGAGAGACGTTGAAGAGTCCCTCTTTTCTTTCTCCAAGGGTTTCAGCGCTGTATTTCCAGGCCAATCCTACAAACTCCATCCCAAGGATTTTGGAGAGAAGACCCAAGCCCCAGCCCGCCTGGAGACTGGGCAGGGTTTGGGGGAGGCCTTTGCTCTGGGTCCTGCGATCTCCTGCCCCTCTGCATTTTACAGTTCTAGGGCAGCTGGCAGGCTATCCAGGAAGCACTCTCCACTCCCCACCCCTTTAAAAGCCCAAAAGTTTGAAGGGAACTGAGGCACTCAAGGAATCCTGCCTCTGGATGGGAGAAGTGGCTTGCTTAGTAAAGGAAGTCTCTCTGGCTGGCAGAGGGTCCAGTGGAAGACTTGTATACCAGTGGGTGTGTGGGAAAGGGTGGCTGCCCAGAGGGGCTGTTGATCTTTTGGGAAAGCAAACGGCAGATATGACAGCTTTCTCTTCTTTCCCCATGTAAAAATCTGGATAGAGTAGGGAGGGTGAGCAACAAGTCGGATCCTTTTTTGGAAACAGCACACTTGAGGCCTGAGTTCACGATGGTGCTAAGAAACTTGGGGACAGGACTCCCTCCGCTTGCAAGAACCAAGCGCCCAAATCCTAGGGGAGCACCACTTCTCAGCTGGAGGCTGGGTTGTCTTCCTCTCTCCTCTTTCTGTCTCCTGTTTCCCCTCTGCATCTCTGTGACCCTCTCTCTTGCCTGCTAGAGAAGTGTAATTGGGTTGTAGGGACGCCCCGCTCTGGGGAGCCCAGGATTTATGGATGGCAATTAAAGTTTTATGAATTGCAGCTGAGGCTGGTTATTGAGCTATTTGAATGTGATTAGAATTCAATTAGAAAGCGGTTAGTGGACGGTGGGTCTCTAGAGTGTAAACAGACAGCTATTCCAGAAATGTGCTAATCCAACATCTTGTGACAACAATTAAGGAGTTTCAGGGCTTAACTCAGGGCAGCTCAGCTGTAACTACTTTTGTACCACAAGGTTTGCCGATGCAGATGCTCAGCCTCAACCCAGCCTGCCTGCCCAGCCCGCCCTCCCTCACTAGTGTCAGGAGAATCCAGGCAGTCCCCGGAATCATTCCAGCTCCAGAAAGAAGACTGGGAGCTCAACTACTGAGAGATGCTTCGTGGCAGGCTGCTTTTTACAGGCCTAAATTGTCCAAATAGGTGACATGATTTCTACATTCACTTTGCAAAGTATATATATTTTTTCACTTAAAATTTTACATAATATATATTTATATGTATTTATTCACTTTGCAAATATATATATAATATATATGTATGTATATGTATAAAATGCCTCTTTGAGAGTAATAGTTTTCTCTCTCTTTGTCCCCACTCTGGGTTAAGGAGGTTATCCAAAGTCTGTTTTGGGCTAACAGTTTGGGTCACAGTGCTCCCGCTGGTTCTGGGTGTGCCCCTAGGAAGAACTCTTATACTAATGTGCTGGAAGTTGTGCTTATGTGAGGATCATTTTATTTTAGAGAATCCAAAAGATGAAGCTTGAGCATCTAAGTCATTTTATGTCTGACTATAGAAACATGCAATTGGAGTGCTAAGGAATTTTGAGAAAGTGAGAGGCCCATGGGGTCGCTTAGGGCTGCAAGAGGACCAGCAGCCTGGGGCCAGACTGAGGCTGAAAGCAGACCGTGTCTGAGAAACTTACCTTTTGTAGTACTTGGTTAATTGCTCGAGCCCCCCAAGAGCAAGTATTTTGGGGTCATGCTCCATACTGGAGCATCTTCTCAGACTCTTCTCATTAGTTCTCTTTGGATTTCTCAGTGTCTCCCTCCCCTCTCTCTCTTTCTCTCTCTCTCCCTCTTTCTCCCTTCCTCCACTGCAGCCCCATCTTCAGAAGCCTGCCCCACTGTGCCTTGTCTCCCCTCCCCAAACGAAGCCTACCCTCCAAGTCCCTGGGCATTTTTGTGGCTGGCCTTGCCCAGCCGGACCCTTCCCCAAGACAGCAGCATCTCGAACCCGCTTGGAGCAGGAGTGGACCCCAAGCAGACCGTTGGCATGCTCCCATGGTGCCCCTGCTGCCACCCAATTTTATTTCTCAGTGATTCTGTCCGATAAAATTTCATCGTCCATTAAGTAATCCCTGAAATGAGAGCTCTTATGAGCCTATAATGAGCTCTAATTGCCACGACTCGGGGAGCCACGTGGAAGGATTTATTTGGTATTAAGCAGTTGGGTACAGAGTACAGGCTGTTACCTAAGCCATTGCTTTCATAATTCAAGGAGAAAATTAGTTCTTTTAAGGGGGTGGGAATCCTTTGATTTCCTCCCTCTTGCTTGGGATGACAGAGGATGGTTTTGTCTTCCTTGAGTGCAAGACAGTGTCACAAATGCAAAGGTAACAAAATTGTCCCTCCTTCATCCCCCGCCCCTCCCTGGTCAGGACACCCCACGCTTACCCTCAATTGAGAAGAAACCAAAGCAGTTCAGAGACACTGCCTTCTTACCCCTAGACTCTCTAACTTGAGCCTGGAGGAGCAGTTTCCTTCCAGCTCAAACTTGAGATGTGAATTCTCGGTTGCAGCTTTCAGAAAGTCTGCCAGTACTTTGCCCCCATCCTGGGTCACACCTGACCTGAAACCCACGTTCCCTTCTTCCTTCTCTCTCTTCCGGTTTCCTTTCATGGGCAAAGTCAGGGAAGGTAAAGGGCGCAGACTCAGCATTGCTGATTCAACAGGCCCTAGAGTTCTGACCCACTGATGTGCTTAGCTCTTTTTTCTGGCTGTAGCTCCCACTTTGCCTTCCCTCGTGCACCCCCCCACCCCCATCCCTAGTCCTTTTTTCTCTCAGTTTCTGCGTTTGCCCACACGGTTCTCCTGTCCCAAACGGAGGCCGAGAACAGGGCGGGACAGCCCAGGAGTTGGCGGGGCCGCCTCGGATTTATTTGCTCCTCTTACATTGATTTCATATTAGTTTCCAAAGCGATGAATGATCTCAAAGCTGGGTTTTGTTAACTGAACACAAACAGGAGACAGGACTTACTTGCCCCCAGCTCCCTTTAATGAGGTCATTATCAAAGCGTGAACAAGTCTATGAATGTTTTATTGAAAGCGCATCGTTAACTTGTATCCATCCTTTTCTCCGAGTGGCATTGTGATATTGCTGTCTGTGGCACATCTTACCCGATATAGCCCGAGATTTCCCCATTCTCTGTAACCAGGCAACCCTTTCTGAATACCCAAAAATTGAAAAGAACCGCTTAGTCTTCAAGAAAGTCCTCAATAATAGTGGAAAAGAACAAAGATCCAGGAGACAACAAAATGCCACAGGGGTGACTTTTCATGAGCAATTATCTCTCATTAATCAGAAGAACAGCTGCAATATTAATTTTCTCTCTTTCTTCCTCTCTTTTCACAGTCCCCAACATTTGAATAATCATAAATTTTGATTTTATGAAGGAGTCACATTTTCAGGGGCTGGAGGAAAGCAGCTACCTAGGTGAAGGCAAGGAGAAAACGCTCTCATTTTATTTTTTTGTCGTTGTTTGGGTAAAACTGCCAACAAAGCAAAATGGAAAAATAAAAATAGAAGGGAAATGCTAGAGAAAATGGCCCCCCCCCCTTCTTCTTCTGGATGGCGGCTGAGAATCAGGAGTCTTTTTCCCGCGCCCCCTCCTAACAACTTCCCCCCCCCCCCATTTTTTCTCCCCCTGCCCAGACCTCTTCCCCAGTTCTGCTCCGAGCAAGGCGGAGGGAAATGTCCCCGGCGTCTGGCGTGGGAGTTTCAGCCGGGTTTCTGCCCGTTTAACTTGCAAACGTGAAGCCAAGCGTTGTCGATCTGACCAAAGAGACACTCTTTGGGCGTAACTTGCATTGTGGCCATCAAAAGCCCGCCAGCCTTGGATGAACTGAGACGTGCATTCAGCAGAAATGGGGCGCTCGCTCTCCTTTCAGGCGCCGGAGAGGCGATTGTTCACAGGATGTGTAGCCAGGGTGGAAAACGAGGGTCCCCAGATAAGGCTGCAACCTGCAAACGGGCTTGGGGGACTTAAAAGAATCTCATTAAAGCCGAGGCTGTAATTAGCAAATACACACTCATAGAGAACCCAAGCCCCTCTTGAAAAGCTGTGAGGCGGGATGAAAGAGGGGCAGTTGAGAGTCAGTACCCACATTCCTGCGCTGGTTGAGCGACGAGGGGCTCAGGCGCCCGGCTGCCCCTTCAGCTGTCCCAAGATTGTTACCTTTAACGCGCGTCCGGGCGAGGCCGTTCCGCCGAGAGGGCAGGCTACGAGCCTTGTGCTCGCCCATCACCAATAAATGATCTTGCTTCTCCCTAGTGTTTATTCAGAGCGGATGGGCCTTTGAGAAACCTGAATTCGCCTTTGTGCTCACCACAGGCGCAAGAGTTCAATTCGGCCTCGGAGAAGGGGGTGGGGGACGCTTCTGGGAAAGGAGTGAGGATTTTGGCTCCGAATTTCAGGAACTGCCGTTTCCGGGGCCTCCCAACAGTTTTTTGATGGCCCCGAATGGGCGCCGCACAGCCCCTCTGCTCCCCACTTCACCTTAACGTTCGCACACCCCCAAATCCTTAAGCGTAACAAGGCATCCCTCCCTCACCCTTAAAGCTCTCCTCTGTCATCAGAATAAAATTTATTGAGCGCCTACTCGGTGCCCAGCGTGTGCTGGGCGCGGCGGGGAGCACGCCTGAAAAGGCCAAGACTGTATCCAATAGAATATTGTTTCATTTCGGTAACAATGGCCTGAGGTGGGGAACAATTATCCGGATAATTGAAGCAAATGCTCCACCTCCTCCCTCCCTTTCCAGTTCCCTTGGTGCTTGCCATTTTTTTTTTTCTACCTTTTTCAGAGATGGCGTTTTTTATTTGGTCAGGAGGGTGAAATTGGGAGTGTAAGGTGGGGGCTGAATTATTCACACGCATACCAATTCTCCACTTCCCTTGGCCTAAGTTTGCTGAAAGCATTGGGCAGAAATAGCTGCTTAGTAATGGGACTCAAGGCAGTTTTGTTTTTTTTAGTTACCAAAAAGAGAGTGAAACTTTGTAATTTTTAGCCATCTGGCCTTTCTGTTGTTCAACTTCGGTCATCTACAAAAATCACCTGGAGAGTGTTTTAAAAATATCAGTGCCCTAGAGATTTTGATTTAATGGTGTGGGGCCGGAACGTCAGAATTTAAAAAACAAAAAGACCCTCCCAAACTCTTGACGTGGTTCTGATGCAGGTGAGGGTTGAGAAATAATGGATATATCCTACCTCCTACTCCTGCTTATCCTGGAGCCTGAAGAGAATAACAACCTCTCTGAACATCGTTCAGTAATTGATAGTTTGAAAGTGTGTATTGAGTGCCTTCCACGTGCTAGGGAATTCTGTTGCACAAGACCTGTCCCCTGGGAGTTTCCAATGAGTTAAATGAATCAACAAATCAACTCAAAGCTGATAAATTACAAAAGGTAGCAAGAATTCGAAAGAAAAGCCCACATGGCTCTGGGATTGAATAAAACTGAAGCCTGAAGTGACCCACAGGATGAGTAAACTGGTGTTGGCCTGGGAAGGAAAGGGGGACGGGGAATGTGTGCAGGCCACTGAAGGGCGTGCACAAGAGCGGGGCAGAGTTTCTCTCTTGGCTAATCGCAAGAAGGGAAAGGAGGCCAGGGAGATTGGTGGAAGAATCTCAGTTTGTGCATCTGTGAAACAGGAAAAATGCCCACCACCTTCGGGTCCTTGTGAGGCAATAAGGGCTGCTTAGCACCAGTCTGGTGCCTCGTAAGAGCTCAGGGCATCTCTTGCTTTTATTATTTGGGACCTGCAGGTCCATGTGCCCTTGGAGGCTTAGGAATGAGGTATCAGAGCCCTGGGCATTGCAGCAAGGAACCCGGAAGCCGGAGCCCGCTGCCCAATCATCTCTCTGTCCTGGTGCGTCTCTTCTGGGCAGAGTTTTGCTCTCCAAGACTCCTCTGCAGTGTCCCGATGGTGCCCAACCCGAGGCGCACCTGTCTCCCTTCAGCAGCCTCAACAACCTGGGCCTGCCAGGGGAACTGCGGCCACCTCCACCTCCCTACCCCTGTCAAAGACTTCTCATCCTGGCAGTCCCTTCTTGGGACTGTGCCCTAAATTTCACGGCTTCGGTGAACTGGAGAACCTTCCAGCTTTGCTGACCTGTTTTGCAGAGGAGGAAACAGGTGTATGTCAATCTTCATAGCCACCACTTCCTGGGCTCTCAATGGGTGCTGGCCCAGAATCAGGAGCCTTGCTTGCATGACCTCATTAATCCGCACAACTGCCCTACCAGATAAAATGCCATTAGTATGGCTGTTTCTTGGATGATAATCCTGAGTCTTATTGAAATTCAAAGACTTACCCAAGGCCACAGAGCTAGAGATGGCAGAGCCAGAATTCAGACCCGGTCAGTCTAATGTGGGGGCCTTGAGTTTTAGGCACTAGGCAATACTATCTCCTACTAATATCTAGCATTTATTGAGTACCTACCATGTGACTGGCTATGACTTAAGCCTTTAATGCATCATTTATTTCTCACAATGACCCTGTGAGGTAGATACTTTTATTATTTACTTGTTTCTTGTCCACTTCTTGGGTAGTGTGGTTTTCCTATATATTAAAGATTATAAAGGCCAGTCTAATATGGCCCATATGACAGAAAGGGCACAGATGGGAATTGGGATGAGGATAGAGAATGTGATTGTTTTTGCTCTCCTGCGCCCAGAACATAGTAAGTACTGAAAGACATTTGAGTGGTTGAAAGCAACATCTTGTTCTTTTACTTCAAAAGCCTTCATCATAATCAATACATATGGCTGCTGGTTTACTTCATTGCTGGTTGCGTACCCCCCAGTCCCTAGTTGACTGCAACCTGCACCTGGGCACAAACTGGGTCTATTTTGTTTATTCACCCATGTATGTCAAACGTCCAGCCCGGAGCTGGCATATATTGGGAGTGAGAAAAATATTTATTGAACGATGGATTCCTCACTTGACAGGGAAACTGAGGCACGGAGAGGCTATGCAACTTGTCCAAGCCCACACAGCTTGGAAGTGGCAGCGGGAGGATTCAACCCGAGGTCTTTCTAACGCTAAGACCCTGTTCGCCTTCTCGCCCTAGCCCACAGCCGCGTGCGCTGTGTCGCCTGGGCCACCGCGACTGGGCGCGGGAGCCAGGGCCGGCCTGAAGTCCTCCCCCGGGCCCCCCCCGCCGCGGGTGGAGCCGAGGGAGGCAGAAGCTGGAAGAGGCCGGAGAGGCCGCTCCCTAGACGGCGGTCGACAGGCTCCGAGGCTGTGCGCGGCGCTCCAGAGCTCCCGCCCCGCCGGCGCGGGAACCACCACTTCCTCCTCCCCGGGATCTGTCTCGCTCTCTGGCCTCGGTCCCCCTCTGCCTGGCTAACCCGTTTCTCACTGGAAAGCGAAGCGACTCTAAGCTATCGCGTTGAATCCACAGCCTGAAAACACCTCCACCGGCAACGGTCCCCGAACCCCGAACACCCCAGCGCCCGCGCTCGCGGCGTCCCCGCTGCGACAGGTGCGCATGCGCGAGCGTGAGAGCTAGGGGGGAGAATTGAACAGGATCCTGTGTGTGCGCAAGCTCGTGTGAAGTGTGTGAGTGGGGAGTGAACGTACGTGGGAGTGTGACACGGTGTGTGTGTGTGCGTGAGGGGGTGTGCATAGTCAATGTATATGTCTGCAAGCTTGTGAAGAGGTGAAGAGTGTATGAGTAGAAGCGTGTGCGTATATGTAAGTGTATAAGTGAAGAGTGTAGATATTTGAGAGCTTGAGTGGGGGTTGTGAGCCTAAGTGTGTGTGACTATAGGAATGTGTGAACATAGGAATGTGCGAATAAGAGAGACTGAGTGTGTGAGGATGGATGTGGAGGCAAGCGTGTGTCAAGAGTGTGAGTGAGCGTCCGAATGTAAGTATGTGCGAAGCTGTGTGCCTGTGTAAGAATGTGTATGCACGAGGGCCACACGTGTGAAGAGTATAGGTGGGGGTGTGGGCGTGTGAGTGTGAGTGTGGATTTGGGAGAGAGCGTGTGTGGGACATTTGCGTGTGAGAGGGGGCACGTGCGTGGGGCGCATCTCCTCGAGCCCCGCCCCTCGGGGGCTCACTCCTACCCCGGGGTGGGCAGAGCCAGCGCTGTTTTGCTCTGCCCCGCTGTTTTGAGTGCAGAGTCAGCTTGGGGCCTTGGAATCTGGGACGTCACTGAAGGAGGGGACGGGAGTGTCTCCTCACGTCCAAATCGGGATGCTCTAAGCGGGAGGGACGCTGGGAGCATCGCCTGCGGGCCCGTTTCACCTGCCCCTGGTTTCTTCGCTCACTCTCTGGATCCTCTTTCCGTCCAGTTACTCAGTGAGCATTTATGGAGTGCTTTCAGTATGCTAGGCTCTCCTTTAGGTGTGGGGGAAACCAGGAGAACAAGATGGGCTTCCCTAGGGCTTTCTGTTCATGTGTAACTGCTGGTGATACAAACATAAATCTTGGTCTCTGCCCTCAAGCAGAGGGGCGTGGAGGGCTTATAAGACAGATAGTGATAGCAATAAGACAATGCATTGAAGTAAGTGCACGTGCAGTCTGTCTCCATTCCAACTTCAACAGTTTCACTGCACTATTGAGTTTGGGCTAGGGGTTAGGATATCCTGGGTGTGAATCCCTCCTCCCTTGACAATGGTAATAATAATGGCCCATCTCAAAGTGTGGCTGTGAGCTTTAAATGAGTTAAGTTGCAACAACCCTTGGCACCATGTTTGGAACGTGGTTGACGCTCAATATATACAAGCTATGATGATGGTGATGATGACGTTTCCCAGGACTGATGGAATGTTGTGGAGAAGGGGAGATGCTGCATTTGTGGGCTAGAAAGTTTAAGAGATTATCCATGGATTTAAATTAAATTGTGTATAATAGTATTACATTCCTGTCTAGCATCAGGCTATATCACATGTTTGGTTTTCATTTTTCTCTAATAATTGCTTCTCCTCCTGGACCAATGGTATCAATAGTGCTGTTGTCAAGGGTAAGTGAAGTCTTGGGGGAAGACAGCAAGCACCCACAGGAGCCGAATGTCCTTTAAGGCAGCCTTGAAGCATTTCTAGTCCGCCCAGGTACCATGAAAGTGAAAGGGAATATTTTCACAGTGACACAAAATGTGTGCTGTAATTTAACCTTGTGAGCCAAACTTCTGATGATATATGACATAGGAAATAAGTTTCCTGATTAGCCATGTACCTCCCTGGAACAAGGTACTGTATAAACAATTGCAGGGCGTATTTTGTTTTTTAAAGAAGGCTGTTTTATTAAGATTCTTTTTTTGATGTTTAACTAGGATCATAAAATAATTTTATTTTAAACCAAAAGAACATGTTCAAAAATTGAATTTCCTTGTTGAGATTTTTTTTCAAGAAAAAATACATCAAAAAGACATCTTGAAAAGTGTGAGAATTGGTTGCAGAATCTAGGTTTGTGAACTTAGCAGCTGAAAAGGAATTTTGCCATTATTCAGCTGACCCATCTTATGTTACAACTAGAGCAACTAAGGTCCAGAGAGAAGTGGTGTAAGTGGTCTCTCCCTCTAGCAGTCACCAAGTAGGACCATCTCAATTTTGTTCCTCTAGCCACAGTTTTACCTTAGTGGGAAGATGCCTTGGCAACTGGGAGGAAAAAAGGGAGAGGAGTTCCAGTGCCCTTTCATATGGGCACCTCTCTGTTGCTGGCAACTCTTATCTTCTGGTGGCTCAGACTCAAACCCTTGGAATCTTCCTTGACTATTCTCTTTCTCTCCACACATTTAATTCATTAAAAAAAAAATTCCTGATGGTTCTATCTTCAAACATATCCAGAAACTGACCACTGTCAGCACTCCCACTACTACCACACTGTCCCCATCACAGTCTAGCCTCCAGACTGGGCTCCTTCTTCCTAGACTTGCCTCTGTAGTCTGTTCTCAACCCAGCAGCCAGAAGGATCCTCTAAAAAGAGAAGTCAGATCAGATCAGAGCAAGAATCACAGACCTCACAATGGCCAAAAAGCCTCTCCATGGTCTGGCCGTGGCTGTCTCCCTGACTTCCTCTCCTATTGGCCTACTCTCTCACTCTGCTTTCCTTGCTTGTCTGGCTCTCTCCTGCACTGGCTTCCCCTCTGCGGAGAACTCTTCCCTACACCGACAAGTCTCACTTCCTCACTTTCAGGTCTTCCCTCCAGTGGCACTTTCTTACTCTTTTTAAAATACCAAAGCCTCTCCTGTGCCCTCTGCACTCCCAACCCCCTTACCATGCTGTTTTGTTCTCCTATAGCACTTAGCACTTTCCAGCATACTATATAACATACTGAGTTTATGTGTTTATTGCCTGAACCTCCTGTGAAACTGAAAGCTCCTGGAGGATATTTTTGTCCGTTGGGGTCACTGAGAACAGTTCCTGGCGCTGTAGGTGCTCAATCAATATTTGATGTGGGATTGAAAGAAGGCCAGTGTTCTAGGCAGATGCCTAATCACCACTCTATCTTACCTCTACATAGAACTTTGGAGTTAACAAATAGTCTTAAATGTGTTATGTCACTGGATCTGCACAATTACATAAGCTAGAGAAGACTTTGTTTTGCTTCTTTTTTTTCTTTTTAAAGATTGGCACATGATCTACCATCTGTTGCCAATCTTCTTTTGTTTTTCTTCTTCTTCTCTCCAGAGACCCCCCAGTACCTAGTTGTATGTTCTAGTTGTAAGTTCTTCTGGTTATGCTATGTAGGACGCTTCCTCAGCGTGGCTTGATGAGCTGTCCTGTGTCCCTGCCCAGAATATGAACCTGTGAAACCCTGGGCCATTGAAGCAGAGTGTGCGAACTTAACCACTCGGCCATGGGCCGGCCCCAAGACTTTTTATTTTGATTGTTATTTCCACAATAAGGTATTCAGAGATTTAAGGACTTGCCCAAGTCCGATCCAGAACTAGGATCTAAATCAGAGTGTCTTTTTCAGTGGGAGACAAGTTCTCTATTCTAGACCTCTTGGCTAAATGAGGAAAACTAATAGGTTACTGGATTCACTGTAGATTCTTCTAAATCCTGGCCCTGGGATGAGGGCTGGGGTCCTCCCTCCTCTGTCTGCCTTTAGTATTATGTAGCTGCCCAGGCCCCAGCTAAATGAGTGGTGCTTTGGGGAGCTGGCACAATGGCCACATCCTCTTGTTTTTATAATTTGCATGGGGTTGGAAACAAGAGATATTGTCTTGTTGTTAGCCAGAGCTCATTTGGAGTCTGGCCTGAATCTCTGGATTTGGCTGGATGCCCTCCCTTGTCTGACTGCTCTGGGCAAACCAACATACTGCCTTCATCAGTGTATTACAGTTCCTTCCTCATGTTTGGGTTCTCTGTCAGTCCATCAGATTTAGCTGATGAGCTCATTGACTGCAAACTGATTGAGCAAGACAATGTCCCTCAGTCTCTGGGCACACACAGCACCATTGTCTTCCACAGATACTAGTCATAATTGACCTCCCCTTCTGAGAGCATTGGTATGTCAATAGTTATTAATCAATAACTGTTAGAGCAAGAATTTGTCATATTGAACTACAAAAGTAGTCAAAAAAAAGTAATATGTCAAGTAAAAAGCCAAAAAAAATCAGAAAATTGATGTAAATACAAAATTACCAATTCTGAACAAATTTTTAAAGACAATACTTTTTCCTCAAGGATGTTCACATGTAGTAAAATAAATGACAGTTAATTCTTTGTTATCCCTTGAATGGCATAAATTGTTACTTTTTTATGTGAATGGGGAAAATTTAAACATTTTGAGACAAGAAAAGGAAAAGAACAATTTGTTTATTGAAATATTAATTCAGTGTTTGGTTATTCACAGATTATCTCCATGCCATCTCCATTTAGAATTTAATACATGTCTCCGTCATACACTATTTTTCTGTTCCAGGTGCTCAAAAGCAACAGAGACGTTAATTATGAATGCAGAAGGCATGGTTCAGAAAGGAGTGATGGCAGCCAAAGTTAACTGCGTCATTGTTGTTCTGGAGGGGGCTTTTTACCTGTACTTTTTTTGAGATCAGGCAAGGTAATGGTGTTCTAAACAATGTACCTAATAGTAATCACAATACCACTTATATTGGCCGTAGAATGACCCCTAACCACATGGGATTCTTAGTGTATTTAGATGTCAGTAAAAGACAAAGCTTATCAGAATAATGGCTGCTTTTAAATACAAGGCCTGAGTCGTATTGTTAGAGGAACTTCTGGAAATAGAGCTATAGTTGCTATTGAAATTCAGTTCAGTTTAATTCACCATTATTTACTGAGTGCCTACGTGTGCTAGGTATAGAATCTAACAACAGCTCTCAATGAATTCTAATAGGTGTGTGATAATGTAATTTCAACAATCTATGGAACCATGGAGGAGAGAGCCGTTCTTCCCACTGGCATCAGGGACTCTGATTGGGCCTTGAACTATTTACAGGATATGCTCAGATTAAAAACAATACAATAATAACAACAGTGAGAGAATAGACTTCTAGGCCAAGGGTTTGTTAGTGAGCACAGGCCTGGAAGATGGATATGCGTTATGTGGAGGTGGAATAGCTGCATTCAGGAGAGAGAAACATCAAGGGTTGCTTAGCAGCAGAAAGCAGAGTCTGAGTGGCAGGTGAAGGAGTATGAGATATCTCTATATTAGATGGACAGTCTCTGAAGGATGCTAAACAGAAAGTTGAAATGGTTATATTATAATCATTGTAAAGGATGGATTGGAAGAGAGAGAAAGCAGAAGCAAATTCCTTTTTTTTTTAATTGAGTTAATGATAGGTTACAATTTTGTGAAATTTCAGTTGTACATTAATGTTTGTCATTCGTGTTGTAGGTGCACCACTTCACCCTTTGTGCCCACACCCCACCCCACCTTTCCCCTGGTAGCCACTAATCTGTTCTCTTTGTCCACATTTTTAAATTCCTCATATGAGTGGCAGAAGCAAATTCTTAAAGTCCAGTCTCGAGACGATGAGAATCATATTAATCAGTGGTGGTGGGAATGGAGAGCAGAGGATAAATTCAAGAGTCATACGGAAGGGAGCATGAACAGTCCTTGTTACTAAATAGATGGGATGTGGGTACAGAAAGAAGAATGAGTCCATGAGGAATTGGATTTCTAGCTCAGGCATCTGTGTTAATGACAATGGTGTTAACAAATACAGTGGTTACAGATGGAAGATAAACAGTTTTCATTGTTTCGGATGGGCTTGTAGATAGAGTGAGTGGAAGAGAAAGAAGATAAACAATTTGGTTTTAGACATTTTGAGTTGTAAGTACTGTCAGAACAGCCAAAGGGAAATTTTTGATGTATAATAGCAGTTAGAAATATGGATCTGAACTTAAGAGAAATAGGGGTTGGAAATAAAAATGGTATCAGCCTATAGTATTTAAACTATATACAATAGTTGCAGCATTAAGATAAGATGATATTACTGAGCGTTGAGGTGATGGTTAGAACAGTGGTCAGGTTGTAGTCTTGGTATAGTGCCTATCGGATAATTGGCACATAGTATTGAACATATTTGTTGAATGCTGAGTCTGTTCCAGAGTCTCACTCCCCTGCTCTCAGAAATTGTAAAAATCTCTTGGTCTGTCTGTGCAGGGGTAATCAAGTACTTACCACTTGGCAGTGGGACCAGAATGCAGTGGATTTGGAAACTAAATCAGTTGTAAGGTGGTTTGGTGTGAATATGGGATTAGAATTATACATAGCCTCTTATAGCCAACCAGGAGCCTTAGAAAGTTGGCCTAAGCACTCTTTCCTCATGCCCTCCCATCTAACAGAAATAGAGTAAGTAGGGCAATCCTGATGTAGAATTCAGACACCCTGCCTTGTTTTCTTTCCCAAAGGCTTCCTTTTTTGTGTAGACTTTAGACATTTTCTGATTGACTCAACTTTATCTCCACAGGGCCTGTTGACAACTTAACATGCCAAGAACCCATCAAGTAAGGCAGGTAGATGTTTATGGCCTGTTCCTGGTCCTGGTGTATTACCACAGCATTGCTCAGATTCCCAGTCTGAGTCAGAATCCTAAGTGACTGTTCCACGTCGCAGGATGTTTGTTTGTGTTTGCTGAAGGACTTAAAGTGCTTGCAAAATGGTCTGTCATATCCATCTTCAGAAAGAAGATTGCTCATCTTTGAGATCCCATGTAGATGGAAAAAGGAGGTAGAGATGATAAATAAATGTACAAAATCATATACAGTATCACCATTTACTGCCAGCTATAACTTTTTATTGGTCCTGTTAATTTTCCATGTCACCTCATTACCTAACTAACTGCTCTCATTCTATCACATTCTGGATCAACCTCTCTGCTTCAACCAGAAGGGCCTGTTTGTGACCCATGGTACACACAGCCCCATACTGGGGACTTCCTACTGACACCTTTCCCCACTTAAAGTACTTCTATGCTTTTCTCAATCATCTATCCAACATTTAATCTTTAAAATCGTCCTCAAAACTACAGCTTTTTCATAGAACTTTTTCTTCCTAATGGTGAAATGCAAATCATCCAAAATTCCTCAGTGTTTACATATGTAGTAACTATAATATCTTAAAGAGCAATATCTTATAGACTAGCCCTCAGCATCACCTAGAGAGGTGGTTGAGTTGAATGGACTGTTTGACTAAGTAAATCTGAAGTTTCTTAGATCATGAGAATAATAATGATAGTAACGATCATTCAGCGAGTATCTCCGTGCCAGGCGCTGTACTAAGCATTTTGCTGTCATTACATTTGATTGTCACAGTAAAGCGAGGAGCATATCACCCTCGTTTTACAGATGAGTTAACTGAGGTTCATAGAGGTTAAGTAATTTGCCCAAGGTCTCTTGATTAGTAAAGAGCAGAACCTGCATTCAAACCTATGTCTTTGAGACTCTGCAGTTGGTAATCTTGCCATTGCACCATGTTTTTAGTGTTTGTTTTTTGAAAGACAAAAATAGTTTCTGTGGGGGCCAGCCCGGTGGTGTAGTGGTTAAGTTCATGCGCTCCACTTCCACGGCCCAGGGTTGCTGGTTCAGATCTCCAGCACAGACCTAGCACCGGTTGTCAAGCCATGCCATGGTGGCATCCCACATAAAATAGAGGAAGATTGGCACAGATGTTAGCTCAGTGACAATCTTCCTCAAGCAAAAAGAGGAGGATTGGCAACAGATGTTGGCTCAGGGCCAATCTTCCTTACCACAACCCCCCCCCCCCCCCCCCCCCACCCAAAACAGTTTCTGGCATTTTCTTGATCTCTTTCTATTTCTCCTTGTACAGGGCCATGTACTGAATGCTGTAATTAAATAGGCTCTTTTAGGTTGCAGGAACACATGGATGCTCCATTTCCTTCAGCAGACTGTTTTTGGTAAGGATAGACGGGGAAGTAAGGAAAGTAGGATCTGCCTTAGCAACTGAAAAGCCAACCTCATGGAAAATGGGAAAAATTGCTCCTCCTCAGGTCCATTTCCTCAGAAGGGGCTTACTTAGAGTTTTGTGGATCCTCTCTCCCTCTGTGAACAAAGCTTGCTAAAGTTCAGATGAAAGACCTTTCATTAGAAACCAGTTTTTTCATTAATTCAACAAGTATTTATTGAGTGCTGACTATATGTCAAGCACTCTTCAAGGCACTCGGGAAAAATGGTGAACATAACAGATAAAATTTTCTCCTAATGGGGCTCATGTTCTAACAGTTCCTTTTACTACGTTTTAGCAATGATAAATCTCATGGAGCCTGTCTCTTCTTCATGCTTGTTCTCCAGATTTTAAGTCTTCTCCATTTTCAAGATTGTGCTTGAATTAAGAAGTGGGTCTAAGCCAGTATTTCCCAGATTTGTTTATAGTGGTCACCTGTTGGTTGCTTCTACAGCATTCATAGTGTTTGGATTCAGCCTTGGAATTCTGGGGAAGCTGACGCTATCTATGGCTCCAAAGAGGAGCATGTGATCTAGCCTAAGCCAGTCATATATGTTATCCCTTCCACAGTGACTGGCTTGGTAAGCAGCATGTGTTGAGAAGGTCTAATAAGAGCAGATCTCAGAACTGTTGGGGGGGATTTCAAGAACTCTGATCCTCTCTCACGCTCTGGAGACTGTGAGGTGTAAATATGAGGGCTGGATCTACTGCAGTCATTTTGCAGAGAAGAGGGAAGACTTTAATACTCAGAAATAAACAGAGTCCCGAAATGGAGCTGGAGGTCTGATCAAATTGCACTTTGACTGCCCCACCTCTATACTCTAACCATCAGTGAAGCCAATAAATGTCTTTATTTATTAAGACAGTTTGAATTTAATTTTGCTAATTGAAACAAAGCATAGCAATTGACACTAAAGAAAAGAAAAGAAAAGAAGAAACACTCTCCTCCTTTGTTTTTTCTAAAAGCATTTCACAGGACTAGATTTTCTCAGAATAAATTCACATTGCAAAATGTTCATTTTGACAGACTATAGCCTTTAGCCAATGTCGCAGAGAGGATAAAATATGCATCCCTTTGACAAAGATCTTTCCTATATTTAAAAAATATTTTTGTATCTACTGTTATATAGTCTAAGTCCAAAGAAATATTAAATGTTAATCTTCAAAGATGGTAGGTGGTTTACATTTTTAACACAGTTTTTCAGTGAGTGATTAAAACGCCTTTGAGATATTACTTAAGGAAATGAAGGGGGAAAAAAAAGAGGCCATTGTGATTATGGTCGAAAGAAAGAAAGAATATATCTCGGGAGAAAGAAAATACGGAAAAGGTAGAAGAAAACAAAAAGGAGGGATAAAAATCAATTTTCTAAAAAGGGAAGTTTTAACACTAACTTGGGAGAGAAAGTATACAGTAAAATTTCTAAGATTGTATAATTTAATGTCATGTAGGAAAACATAAAGATGGTAGTTAATAAATCACAAAAAGATCTCTTAAGGTTGAGTGGACAGAAAAATGAAAGATAGGCTCATTACAGACAAACATAATTCGAATTATGTTAGGTTGTTTCTATGCTATTTTAATGATGATCCAGAAACAAAAGGGGGATTAAAAAGGATTGTGGAACTATTCGCTAATGGTATGAGCCTAATCTGACTCAATTAAATCTGACCGAACTGCTCTGCTCAACAGGACCATCCAAATGTTGTCTTTGATCACCTTAGGAATGAGAACGGAAAGTAATATCTGACCCTTTGGCAACGACATTTATCAAAACGACATTTGACGTGTGTGTGATGGTAGGGTCCTGAGCTACCAAAAGTTTGTAAACTCAGTAACCTGAAAAAAACCTGTATTAGTAGGCACTAATTATAGAATCAACATGTGGGAAACATTACATTCATGGGTTGATTGGCATCTCTCCTAGTTGATCTGAGATTACCGTTTAAAGAGCTTTTGATTTTTGGTTTGTTTGCCAAGTTACATCATTCCTAAAGCATCTCAAGTCAGGCAGGACAGGATAGAACCACATGCTGATGCCACAGGGTGTAGATGAGTCCAAATGGACCCTGATTTAGTCAACAGTCATGCTCTAATCATGAATGATCAGCGCTGTGATACTAACAAGAATGATCAACTGCTCATGTGACATGTCCTTAAACAGGTCCTCATGGTTGGCAGTGGGGTGGCAGGAGGGCTGCTGTGGAAATGAACTTACAGGGACTTAACAGACTGAGTAGGATCTCTGGGCAAGGAAGGATGACTTCTAAAGTGAGCAGTAGCCACAATAGACTTGTTGGGACATTCAGAGGAAGCATCTCCTGTGGATAAACCTCTCACGGCTAATCATTATGCTAATCCATGGGAAATAATCTGTCCATTCCTTAGATGACACATGCATTGCTACCTCAATGAACCTCTCATAGATAATGTGAGCTGTTCATTTGAATCTTGGTAAACAATAACATCAAGCTGACTCTTCTTCCAGTTCACTCATTGAATTCTTAAGTTGTCTGGCAACTGTGCAGGTCTGAATGGATGCCTAGTCACTCATAAACCCTTTCCACTACCCGAGAGTATGGCTTTGCTCAGAGAGAAAGACTGAAAGAGAGGAATGGTTGCAGCATCTTCTTGTATTTCTACAGGGATTTGTAGGTGCTCAGAACATGGTCCAGCATGGTGAATTGTTTCTGTGAAAGAGGCAGCTAGAAAGGAATATTGTCCTCATGCTCTAGATAAGAGAATTGAAGGAAGATACTTAAGAATAGACTGATTATAATGCAGCATGAAAATGCATATGCATTATCTCCTCTTTATTCCAGTATTCTATCCACCCTGAGTGATATAACATTGTCATCACTAATAACAACTAACATTTATTGAGTACTTATTATTTTTTACATATATAATTCCTTTTTTTCTACATATGTAATTTCATTTAATCCTCCCAACAACTCTATGCAATGAGTGCTATAATTAGCTCCACTGCACAGATGAGGATAACAGGTACTGAGTCAACCCAGTTTCCCACGTCTTAAATATCATCCTGGGATTGTTAAATGTTTGGGGAGATAAATGACAATTTTTGTAACCACTCAGCAATTCCTCATTATACTGCATAAAAATGGTTAGCCTCATTTTCTCATTAAGTTTATATTTTTTCCTTCTGATTTATCTTCCCTTCCTTGTAGTGGGAACTTATGCACAGAAACAAAAGGAGTCTCAGATTTTAATTGTATTTCAGCTTTTTAGGAGCCATTTAGGTTTGAATAAGTCATTTAACTCAGTCTTCTCTGAAGTCTATATAATAGGAATGATATGTTTCTGTTTATTTTACTGGAGAGTTGTGAGGGTCAGATGAGATATTATGAATGAAATTGTTTTGTAAAGTGTTAACCACTAGGCCAACACAGAATTAAATGTTATTTCTGCTTACAGATGGTCTTTTTTCTTTGCCTCATTTTTTCCTTATTTTTCTGAATAGAGACATTCCATTCTTTTACACGTTCGTATCCAAATATCTTCCAAATGTTGCAATTAACTACCACAGAAAAGATAATAGAAGGACTTCTGAAGAAGTTTACTTAGAACTATCTTGTTCCTCCATGTCTAAGTTATTCTCCTGGTAAGTAAGGTGTGTTTAATTTTCTGAATCTCCAGTTTACTTCGTTGTGCATTACATCTTCAAAGGACACACTGATATCTTTAAATAGACCAAGTACAGAGTTAGTAGATTGTCTCCCAAAGCCTGAAATTATTCACGCATCTCCTTAAGTGCCTCACATCACTAGGAGCAACA